ATCATCATAAATCGAGAAATTGACAAACTGTTAAATTTAAAATTAAAATATCACAAACTTGAGACACACAATTAAAATATTGAAAAATTGACATATCAAAAAATTGAAAAGTTGAGAAATCGAAATACCCCAGAATCGAAAAACCAAAACATTAAAATCTCGATTAATTCAGAAATCAAAAAACTGAAAAATCGAAAAAATGACAAATCGAGAAATTGAAATGTCTAAACTTTAAAAAATCAAAAAATTGAATAATCGGAAAATCGAATATTTTAGAAATTGAAACATCGAAAAATTGACAAATTTAAAAAAATCGAAAAACTGAGCAATTTTAAAAAACGGACAAATCGAAAACTCGGGAAACTGAACAGTCAAAAAATCGAAATATCGAAATCTCGATAAATGCAGAAATCGAAAAACTGAAAAACCAAAAAATTGAAAAATCGGAAAATCAAACATTTTAGAAATAGAAAAATTGAAAATCCGAAAATTTAAAACGGAAGTTAAAAAAATTGAAATATCAAAAAACTAAAAAGCAGAAAACTCCAAAATTTAAAAATTCGAATAATTGAAAAATGGAAAAATCGCAAAATTAAAATATTGCAAAATGAGTCATCGAAAAATTAGAAATGAAAACATCAAAAAATTGAAAATTTAAAAAACAGGAAACCGAAACAAAAAATGCTAAAATTAAAAAATTGAAACATCCAAAAACATAAAACTTACAAAATCGAAAAATTGAAAAATCCCAAAATCGAAAAATCGAGAAATCGAAAAACCGAAACATCGAAATCTTGATAAACTGAGAAATCGAAAAACCAAAAAAAATCAAAAAACTGATCAATCGAAAAATGAAAATATCTAAAACTGAAAAGCCGAAACATTGAAAAATCGGAAAATAAAAATTTTTAAAATCGACAGCGAAAAATTTGCAAATTTAAAAAAATCGAAAAAATGAAAAATTATAAATGAATCGAAGAATCGGGAAACTAAACAATCGAAAAATCGAAACATCGAAATCCCGATAAATGCAGATATCGAAAAATTGAAAAACCGAAAAATTAAAAAATTGGAAAATTTTAAAACCGAAGTCAAAAAACGAAAGATCGAAAAAAACTAAAAAACAGAAAAATCTAAATCTCAAAATTCGAATAACTGAAAAATAGAAAAATCGACTAAGTGAAAAACGAAAAATCGAGAAAACAAAGAATTGGAATAATAAAATATTGCAAAATGAATCATCGAAAAACTGAGAAAACAAAACATGGAAACATTGAAAAATTGAAAATTTAAAAATCGAGAAATCGAAACAAAAATTCGTAAAATTAAAAAAACTGAAACATCCAAAAACATAAAACTTTAAAAATCGAAAAATTATGGATCGAGAAATTGAAAAATCCTACAATTGAAAAGTCGAGAAATCGAAATACCCCAGAATCGAAAAACCAAAACATCGAAATCTCGATTAATTCAGAAATCAAAAAACTGACAAAAAAAATGACAAATCGAGAATTTGAAATGTCTAAAATTTAAAAGATCGAAAAGTTGAAAAATCGGAAAATCGAATATTTTAGAAATCGAAACAACGAAAAATTGACAAATTTAAAAAAATCGAGAAACTGAAAAATTTTAAAAAACGGACAAATCGAAAACTGGGGAAACTGAACAGTCGAAAAATCGAAACATGGAAATCTTGATAAATGCAGAAATCGAAAAACTGAAAACCAAAAAATTGAAAAATCGGAAAATCAAACATTCTAGAAATCGAAAAATTGAAAATCCGAAAATTTAAAACCGAAGTTAAAAATCGAAATATGTATCAAAAAACTAAAAAACAGAAAACTCCAAAATTTAAAAATTCGAATAATTGAAAAATGGAAAAATCGACGAAGTGAAAAACGAAAATCGAGAAAACAAAAAATTCGAAAAATTAAAATATTGCAAAATGAATCATCGAAAAATTAGAAATCAAAACATCAAAAAGGTGAAAAATTGAAAATTTAAAAAACGGAAAACCGAAACAAAAAATGCTAAAATTAAAAAATTGAAACATCGAAATCTTGATAAATTGAGAAAAAAAATCAAAAACTGATAAATCGAAAAATGAAAATGTCTAAAACTTAAAAGCCAAAACATTGAAAATCGGAAAATCAAAAATTTTTAAAATCGACACAGCAAAAAATTGACAAATTTAAAAAAATCGAAAAAATGAAAAATTGTAAAAACCAATGAATCGAAAAATAGGGAAACTAAACAATCGAAAAATCGAAACATCGAAATGCCGATTAATGGAGATATCGAAAAATTGAAAAACCGAAAAATTAAAAAATTGGAAAATTTTAAAACCGAAGTCAAAAAATTTAAAGATCGAAAAAACTAAAAAACAGAAAAATCTAAATCTCAAAATTAAAATAAATGAAAAATAGAAAAATCGACGAAGTGAAAAACGAAAAATCGAGAAAACAAAAAATTCGAATAACAAAATATTGCAAAATGAATCATCGAAAGATTGAGAAATCAAAACATCGAAACATTGAAAAATTGAACATTTAAAAATCGGAAATCGAAACAAAAAATCGTAAAATTAAAAAATTGAAACATCAAAAAATGTAAAGCTTAAAAAATCGAAAAATTATGGATCGAGAAATTGAAAAATCTCAAAATCGAAAAGTCAAGAAATCGAAATACCCCAAAATCGAAAAACCGGAAATCTTGATAAATTGAGAAATCGGAAGCTAAAAAATCAAAAAACTGATAAATGGAGAAATCGAAATGTCTAAAATTTAAAAGCTGAAATTTTAAAAATCGAAAGAGCGAAAAACTGACATTTAAAAAAATCGAAAAACTGAAAAATTTTAAAAGATCGACAAATCGAATACCCATAAATGCAGAAATCGAAAAATGAAAATCAGAAAAATTCAAAACCGAAGTCAAAAAATTGAGAGATCGATAAAATGAAATATCAAAGAACTAAAAAACAAAAATCCAAAATTAAAAAATCCGAATAATTGAAAAATAGAAAAATCGACGAAGTGAAAAACGAAAAAGCGAGGAAAAAAAATCGAAAAATTAAAATATCGCAAAATGAATCATTGAAAAATTGAGAACTCAAAACATCAAAAAATTGAAAAAGTGAAGGATCGAATTATTGAAAAATTCCTAAACTGAAATATTGAAAAACTAATAAACCAATAAAAATCGAAGAAAAACTGAACGGAACTTCCAAGACCCTGAAGTAGAATACAATAAATCATCCAGCTTTTTCGAAAAATTATAACATATGATTTTCCGAGATTTTTCTTTACAAAATTTTGTAACGACCTCATCAACATTTTTCCAAGGAAATGTATATCAGTGCAGAGTAGTAATATTAATAACAGTATCCTCCCAAATTTTCGGGAAAATGGAATGAGCTGTCCCTGATTTAATCAATAAAATAAACTCACTCATTCGTTCATTTTTTTTTAGTCAACCTGTGTAAGCAATTCTAAAAAATATGAGTGCACTGATAAAATCACACTTATCATATACATATACATACATATTAAACAGAATTTATTCGAAAAAATTTTCAGATAACGTCATCATTTTTTGGGGGGTATAAAAAATACATTTCGAATACAAATTTCCCATATTTATGACGACTTTAAAACGTCTGCAAGATTTCAAAGCATTCGATTTTGCAGATTCAAAATTAAATTGCAAAACGTTGTTATACAATTTATTTTTTTTCGAAAATCTGGATGTCTCAGTTAAAAACTCAACACAGATTCACGAATTAGATATGTAGGACTACGCTATTTTATACAACTTATTAGCCTTTATTATGAAAAATTTTGAAGTGACGTCATCACATTGTTGGTTAGCGTTAATACACCTATACAATTTGACAACAATCAGTCCGGAAGTTTCGGAAATTCTGCTTAATAAAAATTGACACAGACGCCAGCGAGTCGGAAACCGATGACCTACGTTTTTGTACTCTAGGGGTCATGACACATCAAGAAAATGTGAAAGTATCCAGTCGCCCGATGGACTCGATTAAATAAGTCCTTGTTCATAAGAAAGTGATATTATCCTGAATTCATATCAAATGTATCTTCTCGAAAAATAAAATTTACCAATGTACTATTAAAAAAAACTCAATTGCGAAATATCCCAAACCCAAACATGTTTTAACTTATTGTATGCAAAATACTTCGGCTTACACAAGAAACAGAAATTATTGCTTTGAAAGATATAAAAACATACCAACAAATCTCGATTAATTATAATTTTCATCAGATCATGTAAAGATATGATAATATAATATTCTATTATTATATTCTAATTAACCATTAGAAATCCTTTCGTACTTGAAGAAAGCATATTAACTTGATATAAAGCAGAGCTTACATTTGATACATTTCTATTTTCTTAAAAAAAAAAAAAAAACATTTGTTGTTATATTAGGGCTAATTTTCTTTTCAGTGCTTTCATTATAATATATCCTAATTTCTTCCACGAGATCTGGTAATTATTTGACCCCTTGGTCTGAATCCATCACACTTCGAGTTTTTAATTATAAAAAATAAAAATCGGTGATATGTACGTAAATTTTAGATAAAACAACTTATTTTCGATGAACTTCAACAGTTTGTATTCTACATCATAGCATGACCTACAGCTTACTAAAAGATATCATAGAACGAAAATCAAATCAAAGAACGTGACACATTACATCTCTAAAAATAAAAATAGTATGTCAAAGCAATTTTTTACCCGCAATCAAATACAAATTAGAGTACATCAAATAGTATTTTTTATCATAAACCCGCATTTTAAGAACAAAAATCTCTTATTAAACCAACTTATCAACCTTGTTATCAAACCTCCTTACTCGAGGTCAAAACAACATCTAATTAAATTCCAAATAATAAAAACAAACTCCATCACTTCAACAAACAGTTAAAACACACAGCTCTTGTTATTCCATAAAGTATAAACAAAACGAGTCTAACCTGATTGGGCCACATCTTCCAAAACAGCTCTAAACAAGCAACTATTGGTTCGCGCTAAGTGCTCCTCTGGCGTCATATTACCAAATCCGCCAACAAATCCTTGACACGCGAGCCTCAAAAAAGGAGTTTTCAAAAAACGCAAAACGCCGGATTTAGTGGTCAGTTCTTTAAGTAAATTACTGACTGGGAAATTCTCAAAGCCATCCTCGGTTTGTTTCAGCCTGTGATAACAGCACGGCATGATAACCAACGACTTGCAAAATTCCAGTTTGGTAAACAGTTCTAAAATTATCACACTCAAATCAGCACAGGCGTGAAGTCCAGTTATACAAGCATGTTTCATAGGAAAGGCTTTTGTTATTTGTCGTATGTGATGTTCCGACTCATTAGTAACGAAGTGTTCTACATAGTTTATAGCGGCGTCAGAATCGCTGTATTTTTTTTGTTTAGTTTTTGCTAGGTTGAATTTTTGGGGGCAACCTTCAATACCTAGGACACGATATTTGTATTTATCGTAGAGAAGACGTGGAAGGTACCCCTGCAATTTATTACTATTAATATTATTATTATAAACAATTAAAGTGGCTAACTCTTACTAAACCCGTACCCACATCTACAATAAAATCACAGTCACTGCGTCCACACGTTTCGTGTATCAGAGGAGCTAGTGACTGAATTTCATGTTGTTTCTTGTTACTTAAGCCAGAGTTATTTGGGAATTTAAAATCCTCGCAGCTTATTTTTTTGGGAAGTGTAAACCTAAGCTTGTTTATTTTCTGGAAAAATGATTGCAGTGAAGGCGGTGCGTGCACCTGAAATTATAACGTTATAATATCACTAGACTCAGTGACTTCACAATGACTCGCACTTACCGAAACCACGCCCACTGATAACTCGTTCAATTCGTCGTTGGAAAGATCACTTAAAAACGGCAACCACTCACTCGGAAACTGGTCAAACACTTTATTCACAAGTACATACGTATTAGGAGAGCTGAAGACCCACTGATACGTTTTCAAAAAATCGAAAACCTCCTCAAGATACTTCTCCACCGTATCATAACGCCCCGGCACCGCCATTTCTGTAAAAAACGCCAATAAAAGAAACCAATAGAACAAATCAAGTTTTATTAAATGAACGAAGTACAGGAAATTTCACTCGTTTTCCATAGTTGTCCACATTTCGCTAGGGCGACTAGTCGTATCAAATTTCTCATTCTTTGGCCCCAAAACCACTTTCCCGCTTAAGGCTGGATCGTTGTTCCCTAAATATTTCTCTGTAACGTCTTTCAGAGCGTTCTTATCGACCGACATTATCTCCGCTCTGTGTCTTTGTAAAATATCTGGGGTAAGTCTTCTTAAGAATTCATCACAGCCTTTAGCACAAGGAGGAATGGGTGCGTCCACCGCTTGGAACACCCCTAATTTCGATTCTAATAATTCTTGGGACGAAGTCTTGTCTACATTTTCTTTAAGCCACGCAAACGTGTTGTCGAAAACGTCGAGGGTCTGCAAACTTCTAGGATCTCGGTAGCTGTAGAAGACCAAGACACCGTCACTCGTTAGCCTGGCGCCTCCACCATAAGCACCTTGCTTTTCCCGAAGTTCCGGATGCAGATATTTCGCAGACAAAAGTCGCGCTAAAACCCTCAACCTAGCAAAATCTTTCTTATTATAAGGAGCGGTTAAAACCGCTTTGCTGCAGTAGTTGACAGGGACGTTTAAAACGTGGTGTTGACAATTAACCGCGTTGAAAGAAGACCAAACTTTGCCCTCGACGTAGCTGCGATCATGCGTAGCCTGTTTAGAAGTCTCTGGGATCCCCGTGGTAAATTGTGCAAACGTCTTCATTATTTTTGACTGGTTTTCCTGGGAGATGTTAAAAGCGCACCTACAACGATTGAAATTATTCACACAGAATAAAAAAAGTTGCTTGAACAGACCTAAGGTTGTTCTTCGTGAAGATGATTTTTGCTATGTTTTGGATTTCCTCCAGGACCGCTTTGTAGCGGGAAGTACCGATTAAGCGCTTCATGTAAGAGATGTGTTGGAGTCCACCTAAAAGCTCTTTTTGATATGCGCTACCAGAAACCAAAGCTGAAGCTGCTTTCATTGCATAGATGTGACCCGCATCTGCTACACCATGGGTCAAATTCGCCATGTATAGTTCAGTCAATCTTTGGAACCTTTCAACGTCCAGGGATTCCCTGATGTTGAAAAGCTCACGCCACAACTCCCACATCGACTCCACGTTTTTTTCAAGACAATGACTTGAAATAAAAACGGACGGTTCGTAATTGTGCAGTTGGAATAAACTTTCGCCGATGTGAGGCTCCAGAGATAAACCAGCTGTCTTCCGATTCATCAAACTGTCAAATTCGCGGAAATTCAAATTGTCGGTTCCTAATTTGTTGATTACGTAGCAAAACAAAGGCAGCAGCATTTGCTGCTCTGGAGAAAGCTCGACAGTGCCTAGTAAACCCTTGAAGTAAACGATTCCATTGGAGCTGACTTTATTTATCTGTACAGGAACAGAGTTAATGGTCACTCGTTCCCGGGAAATTTTCTCGACTTCGTTACTTATATCTTCCATCAACAAAGTAGGTAAAATGTCTGTGTTTTGTTGTTCAGTTTGCACTTTTTGTAATTCCAAGCACTTTTTGAAAACAATCTGCTTATCGTCGTCTTTCAAGTCTTGAGTCTTTTTTTTGATCAACTCGTCTTCTAACGCATTCTGCTTTTTTTCGAAATCCTTGTCGGGCGACATCGTCAAAATCAAACGATGGGTGTTATCTTTGAAGTACCGTTTGACTATATTTTGAAGATAATTACTATCTTGCTTCATTTCTTTCTTCAATTTATCTATTAGTTTATTTACTTGTAAGGCAGCCAGAATGTCCCCGTTGTGATTCCACGTAGGGACCAACCCAAGCACTACGTTAAGTCCAAAATTGGCGCTTTCGTGCTTAATAGAAATCTCGTAGCGGTGTAAAATCGACTCAATGTGTTTTTCGTCAAAACCATGACTAACAACATTGTCCAAAGTACTATCAAATATTCCCACTACCTTATCAAAATCTTCTTTTTTCACCCCTTGCAGCCCTATCGTGAAAATGCTGTCTCTAGTTTGCATATCATAGCCAGTAGAGGGTGTAAAACCACCAGAAAAGTTTGGCTCAACCATTGACTTATAGAAAGGTGAATTTGGACCCTTTATTAACAACTCGGACACAAACTGCATCAAAAAAGTGTCGTAGATATCCGTAATGTCCGACAGAAGTAACGAAACAACAACTGAATTTTGTTTTTCTATAGGTTCTCTCATAGCCTCAAAGCGACCCTCTATATGTTCACGTTTAGGTGCACTCCAACGATTTTGCTTGGGGACGACTGTATGCGCAGGCTCGCGATATTCATGTGGTGACAAATACACCCTATTGAGATATTCCAAACTAGGCGAAAGCGGAAAATTACCATACGAAAAAAATTTAGCATTACTTGGGTGATAACACTCCGCGTGAAACTTCTTCAAATCCTCCCAAGTCAAATTCGGAATTTCCAAAGGGTCACCCCCCGAAATAACCCCATACGTGTGATCCGGCAATATCAAATTTTGCAATTTCTGCCCCAACAAATTTTCGTTTTCCGAAAACGCCCCTTTCATTTCATTGTAAACCACACCTTTGATTATCAGCGGGGTGGCGGCGTCCGCTGGATTGACATTCTCCAAGCGCCAGCCCTCTTGCATGAAATCCAATTCCTTCAATAATGGGCGAAACGTCGCATCGAGGTAAATTTTCTGCAAATTGCGAAAATCGCTCAAATTTTGCGTGCTGAACGGGTACACCGTGTAGTCGGATCCAGTCATGGCGTTCATGAAAGTAGCCAATGAGCGATTTAACATTTTGAAGAACGGATCTCGAACAGGGTACTTCTTTGACCCGCACAAAACCGTGTGTTCGAGAATGTGAGGCAAGCCGGTGCTGTTTTTCGGTGTGGTGCGAAACTGAATGGCGAAAACATTGTTGGAGTCGTTTCGGTACAAGTGCAAGTATTCAGCTTTTGTGTTTTCATGCACTAGGTGAATAGCTGTGAGGCGAAACTCGGACACTTCTTGCACCCCTTTTATCTCGAAGCCGTGCAGTTTGTAGCCAACTTTAAACACGTTCAAGTCGTTTGATTCAGTTAATACTTTTCTTCGTGCGGCGTGCGATGATTGTCTGAGAATTTGGTTCAGAGTCGTGATGGACTTTAGATGCGCTCCCAAATTTTTGTACCACATTTTCTTTTAGTGACTATTCATCAATAAAATTTCAAATTGGGATTTAGAGTGGAAAAGCACACTTACCGGCTTTTTTACAGTGAACAAAATTTCAACACACCTCACGAGACATAATAGACATAACCTCTGAATTGTTTGACATAACCTTAAAAAACAAAAGCAACATTGCGCAACTTTGCGGCTAATAAAATGTAATGAAATTGCATTTCTGTAAGGTTTTCTCTTTAAAAATAAAGTGGATTTTTTAAGGAACAGAATGTAAGGAAAAACGAATTACCTTTACTTGTTTGACCTTGAGGGGGAGTCGGCGACACTACTAAGCACAGTTTTCGAACAACACAATAACATACCTAAATTTATATTAAAAAATAGTCCGGTGTTGATCGCGTTTAACATTTACAAAATGTATAAAAATATTTTCCAAAATTAACACAAACACAATTTGAAAAATCAAGCTTGCCAACAGTTTGTAGTAAACATTAAAATTTCCTACATCGCACACTCTTTTTTGTTGATTTTACTTAAATACCAACCGAATAAACACAAATTTTTAAAATTCTTTCGAAATTATTTGATTGTGTTAACCGAGATGGTTGTTACCGTTTCTTTTCTTGTATATAACGCAATAAAAGAAGAAGTTTAAATTTTCCCAAACACAATTTATTTTTATTGGAATGCAAATAACTGGTTATTCTTCTGGGGCGGAATAATTAGCGATCTCGAGATAAGTTGTTAAAAATAAAATGTGTTCTGGTGATGACTCCTACAAGGAATAAATTATTTTATGTCAAAGTTATACGAAATGCACCAAACTTGTTGTGACACTGTCACCGTATCTATATTGTCTGTACAGTTGTAACACTCAACCAAAACACCTCGTTTATCGACTGTTGGTCTTACATCGCATTTTGCACATTTACTGTCGTTATCTGGCCCTTCATCATACATGCTGTCGCCGTCAGTTGTGTTGAGACAAAATGTGTATATATCCTTACAAAAGTGTCACTGATTATATGTTATGAAACAGCCTAGGTACCACATACCTTGATAAGCTCAATATTTATTTCTCGACCCTCGTCTGGGACACGATCTTCTCTCATATCAGCGTTAAGAGCTTCATCACCAAATGGATACGCGGCGCTTTTAGGTGGCTCATACTCACCCTAAACGTGTACAAAAGTTTAGACACATAATTTAGTGTGAAAATTTATTACCAGGTTTAAATCAAGAAGATTATAACATAATAATAACAAAAAAAGTAGATGAGACATTTTCACTAGAATTTTACAAACATCACAATTTTGATTGTCTTGACAAATTTAAATAATCAAAAACAAAAACAATAATTATCCAATTACCAATAATACTTGTATTCAAAATATAATAATATTATAAATTTTATAACAAAATATAGTGTTACTTTAAACAGATATACATCTTCATAATACTTGGAACAACAAATACAGCCTAATTATAATACAAAATAAAATATTCGATTTTTGATCTAGAGATTCATCACGATGAAGATGACTTGCCAATATGACAAATAATTTCTATTTATAATAATTTACACAGTAAAGCTAATTTCTCAAGGGGTCTAAGCTCTCCAGGGAAAAATCGTCGTTTCCAAAGCTGATGCCACGACTGAAACCGGTCTGTAACACAAAAACGGATTTTAAAATGTGGAAGTTCTGTCAGTTAAAACCAACAGTACCAACTTCAGAAAAGGATTAACCTGTGGTACAGTTGATACCCCCATAACCATTACATCCACAAAAAGATTTCTAACTGGCAGCTAAATTTTTTCCTCTAATAAATTTATGAGTTAGTGCTCATTCACAATGGGCATAAAGCATAAAGCATAAGGATGTCATAAGCATTAATGCATAAGAATTTATGTGTAGTGCTCTATGCTTCTATTCGTTCACAATGAGCACAATGCTTAGGACATGCTTATGCTTTATGCCCATTGTGAATGAGCACTTATGCTCATTGTGAACGAATACAACCATAGAGCACTAAACATAAATTCTTATGCATTAATGCTTATGACATTCTTATGCTTTATGCCCATTGTGTGACAAATATTTCACTGGTATTTATTATTAAGAGGGTTGCTGAAAATATTTCATGGCACAACTGTTAAAATATTGGTTTAAGACTGATTTAAGTAAGAAAACACCACTATACTGTTTTACCGTTGTAAAATTTGTTTGGCAAATAGTCACAAAAGATAATCTGCGTAATGAAATGTCAATGGATAGATGATACAACCACATTCAAAGGAATCAGTATTATCTCAAGATAAGGTCCTTCCTTCATTTCACAGTAACCGTAATCTGTGACCATTTCTTAAAATAGGCAACCCATTTTACAGCAACTGAAAAATTCGTAGAACGTGAGGGGCTTATTACTTAAGACACAATTTTACAACAAAAAGAAAACAAGTTCTACAGACTGTATAACACAAGTTTGCTCTTCAAATCAGCATGACAAAAATTCGACTGTTTTCATAGGAAATTAAAAGAAAAATAATTTTGAAACACTTTATTTCAATGGGGAAAATCTTAATATCAAATTATTATTTATGATAATTCAGCCTCAAGGCCGGAAAATAATAGCAAATTAGGAATAATTATTTTCGCTAGTTTATTAGTATGATAAAATAAAATGAACAATAATAATATTACCAATGAAATATTTAAGTACCTTGACCTAATTTGATAAAAAATACTATCAACTTTAAACTTTTTATCAAAAAAACCGTGCCAGCTTGGCAACCTATTTAAAGTTGTTTAATGGCATACCTAATTGTTAAAGTGACAACCAATCAAAACGTTAGTTAGGCGTGCTTATGTAAAACTTGTCAAAAATTTGCTTCAGACATAATGGTCACCCAGTATTTGTCGTCAGTTGTTTTTTTTTATATTAGACAAAAAAATTACGCATTTTATTATTTTGCTCTGAAGGCCTCTCCTATAGAGCGAATAATTCCCATTCAAGTTCTAATTTACCTTCATTTCCAGAATCCTTTTATCTAATAATCCAATGGCATTTTCAATATCCTGTGACGTGGCGGCTGAACTAAAATCCCCCATTTCGAAAGGATCAAAAGTTTTATCATTGTTTCCGCTACAAAAACAAAAATGAAATAATCATATAGTCATTTACTCAAAACGTACTTATTGGTTGACGACACTGTCGATATTGTCGTCTGGGGACCAAATGGGCCCGCTCCAAACAAGTCCTGTCCCATCGTCTTAGTAGCATTAGTTTCATTATTATTATTAACATTAGTTCTTCTGGCCGCTTTTGGAGGTGGCGCAACTGCAAAAGGATCGTTAAAAAATAAAACTTTGCGTTTAATAAATCGTACTTAAAGGAGGATTTGTTGCATTTCCATTGATATTAGTAAAAGCATTTGTGTGATTATTTTCAAATGAACGTGGATTGAAATCATTATCTTGGTCAAATTCGTTCAAAAGCAGTCCTTCCAGTTTTGTTCCTACAGAGGGCGTGTTTTCGAAAGCACGAGGGGGAATAGGTGGTGCTAAAATTGTAACTTTCAAAACACAATTTGCATTTGTTGCAATCGTTACCGTTTCCATTTGTATTGTCTGAACTAAAATCTAACAGTTTTTTCGTGGTTCCATTCACTGGTTCCAAACTGTCACTGGAACTAACACTAGTTGAAAGGGGAACTTCCAAGATGTTTTTAATTTCGTGTTTTTTCAAGTACTGATCCAGCTCTGGTCGGATGTTACTAAAGTGCGAAATGTCCAAAAGTCGTTGTTTATAAATATTATTTTCCTGTTCCAATCGTTTAATTTTTTGCTGAGTTATCATGGCTCTCCTTTGCGACTCTAGATCTTTTCCTGAAGTCTCTAAGAATCTTTTGTATGCTAATTCAAATGCTTGCCCTATCGTTAAAGTGATTTCTTCAGCGAGTTTGTCCGATATGAAAACAAAACACTCGTGTTTTTCTTCTGCTTCATTGTCCACTGCAACAAGAAGGAATTATTTCTGGGGAGAAAAACCGGTAAATCTAGTACCTTGGTTTGGTTGTTTGGCAATAAAAGAGAAGAACTTCTTTTCTCCTTTATCGTCTGCGCAGTAGGATATCCTGTGTAACGGAAACTGGTGTAAGATAACATGGGTTCTAGGTTCCTGAATGGCCACTCCGTCTATACTGATGGTCAGTTCGACTTTTCTAGTTTTGGCACCGGTTTCGCTTTTTCGCAATTGTTGGGTAAATCTCAGTTTTCTTATTCCCTCCTTCACTACTTCTATACCTTTTGGTTGATCTACAACTGTGTTACCTAGGAATTTGACAAGATACGCTATATGTCCTTTTTGGAGTGCTTCAGGTGGGTGAATCCATTTGCGTTCTCCGCTGGTACCGTTCGAATTTTTACTGTTCAGTTTGCCTTGTGTGTTCTGGGCCCACTTCAAGAGGGTCGACATTCTGTAACAAAAAACAAGAGTAATTTCTATATCATACAACAACAGTGAGAAAACATCTTAAATTCTCAATTCTGGAAACAATAGACTTTGAACAATTTATTATAGAATACTTTTCACTTTTATTCATGCACAAATTATGCAAACGTCGAGGTTAAAGAACTCATCACGATTCTACGTATTGTAACACATCAATGACTGAAAACCTTTGTCTACGTTGTCCGGAATGTAACAAATTTTTTCGCAACCGATTTTTCTGACGTGAGTGTTGGCTAAATGAAAGACACCAATAAACATTTCTGGTCTCTGCTATATTTAAAACTTCCGAAGTGCTGTCAATTGTACGGTTTCCATTCGGCTAAATGCAGACATCCTGTTGTAAATTGATACGATGAATATTTATCTCTAACGATGATATCACATGAATTATACCCTTATAGAAATTTTAATTAACGTCCGATTTGGAGTTAATTTTCCGGGTTACGCGATGTCTACCACCGGGCGCCGTTAATTAATATTCTCTAACTGTTTATAATTAAATTTGCAGACGAATAAGAAAGTGCGAAACCAAGACGCGAAGAAGATTACGGCAATGACCCATTTTAGAGCAAGCTGCAAGTTTAAGCAGCAATTAACAATAATGGTTGTTCTAAAACGTTATGCAACGCTTGCAACCATTACCATAGGTGGAGGTGTTTTCAAGGATCACCTCCGAAATATAACGAGATGGCCAATTGTGCTGACATTTTTTGCTGCCACGTGATTTTATTTGTTCGATTCGTGTAAATAAACACGAATAAATTACCATGAAATTATTTTGATTCAGAGAATAGCGTGACGCTTGGCTTTATGCAACAAACACTAGTGTCATTAAAACTTGTAAAACAGTTTATTTCACTGCACATCATCCTTGGGGAAAATTTGTACGGGCCTTTCACTTTTGTGGAGGGAATTTTTGAAATTTGTGTCTTAAACAAGAATAAAAAACATCACTTATTTTGGCGATGATGCGAATAATGAACACAGGTCACAATAAATCAAATTTTTTCTTGGATGTGTGTAGATGTTTTTCTGTAAATATTCATTAGTGCAATTTAAACGAGTTTTTAAGAAACTTATCAGAAGCGTTGCGTTTAACCACAAAATGCTACTGTCTAGATAAAACCGACCATGTAAATCTTTTCCAATGAAAAACACCAACGACGTAAAATCCTTTCCACAAGCAGAAACCAATCTATGGCAAATTTGCAGTAATATAAACTCTGGTTGAATTATTTTTTAACGAACCAGTTGAAATTTCCGTATAACGATTTCATGCCAAAACATAAAATCGACGTCGTATTTTTTCATTTTATTGATGTAAAAAGGCGGATTTTTATTGTTTATTTTATCCATAAGACTGAGTACCGGAAAATGAGACTAATCAGATTTAGCTGTGAGAATAATTGTATAGGTGGTACCATTGCACAATCACACCACGTCATTCTGGTCAGTCCCTTGTTAGTGTCAAAAATTAATAGCAAAATCGGGAAGACCAGTTCTTTTGTCATTTCTAATAAAAACGTTTTTTCGACAAATCCTAAATACATAACATCAACATTGACAAAAAGTAATTAGTTAAAGGCTACGTTGACATTGATTTGTGTCAAATTGAGGTCAGTAGTACCACCCGAAGCTTGACAGACAACGCCAGCTCTAATTCATTCATTGTTTTCGATCGCGTGGTTAATACCTGTAATAATTTTCAGCAAAGTATAATAAATAACTGATTATCATGATAAACATGTTTCAATTTTGTATGACCTAAAAGTCGAAGATGTGCAACTTTATACAAGACTGTACTTTCGCGTAATCCTAGGTATGTACCAATAAGTTTGCACAAATACACATAATAAATAACACTTCTTGTCAATAGTCATTTGACATTTGGAAATGTAATTGTTCAAACTGAAACAATCTTTTGATTCTATCATCACGAAAACACACATAACCTGTTGGAAACTTCGATTAAAAACAATAACTGAAATTAAAAAAATTCTGAAATTTCAGATGTACATACCTACTTCAAAATTATTGTAGCGATAGCAAGAAAAATGCGTCTAACCATTCTCTCCAAAAAATTGGTGACGTCATCTTAAGTAGGTACACCTCACTTGAAGTTTAGAGCGCAACATGCATTGTGATTTAATAATATACTACCGATTTTTTTTACTCATCTGGGTGTTCTAATAAAAAAGATGATATAATTCGTTATAACAGGTACTCTTTGAGGTTTGAACTTCACCAAAAAGCTTTTATTTTTTGGAATTACTGTTTCCATTAAGAAATGGGAAGGGTTACATTATGCATATCAAAATTAATATATGTACTATATACTCGAAAAAAAAAACTCTTGTAGGCCGTGCAATTTATTTCTAAAATAATGATGTTGGCAACATCAACGCGTTGTTTTCATTGTAGCAGTTGCGGTCAAAGAACTGTCAAATAAAGGATCAAATAGCTGCAATGCCAACATCATTGTTTTAAAAATAAAATGCACCGCCTATCAGAAGAGTTTTTTTGTGGTACCTATACCTACTCAGTCAAACGATGATGACGTCATTTCAAAAAATTGTTTAGATTTCAATGGTTTTTATAACATTTTTGTAATTTTTGATTTTTTTTATATTCCATAAAAACTAACATCCCGATTAAAGATGTTAAATTAGAGAAATACCGTAGAAATGCAAAGTTGACGTAGAATAAATTAATTATCATGCTTGGAATTCATGAAATGTTACCTTATAAAAGAACATTACTTTAGTAAAGGTTATTTGGAATCTTATTGCAATATTATGCGATGTTGTTAATTATATTACTAACTACTATAAAAACTACCCACTCCATTTCATATAATTTTTATATACAGGGTGATTCACTAAGCGTGCGGTTCTCGATATTTCATTAATTATTAGAAACAGAAGAAAAAGTCAAACATTAAAGTTGAATGGTTCTTTGAGGCCTATACTTTAAAATTACTTTTAAAGTAAATGACACCCTATATATTTTTACATATTTAGAGTGACCTAGTTTTTTATGCTTTACAACCACAGTTTACTTTTGAAATTCCGATGCGACGTTGCCACGTTATTCGAATTTTCTTTAATGTTTTGACAATGAAAGGGTTCACAAAAAAATTGCAATAGGATTATTTTTACAGTCTGTCTGACAATATTTTGTAGAAGGATAAATAAAGGCAAGCGTCTTGTTGTGGTATCAACTAAATAAAATGTTAGTATACCTTCAGTGTTTATAAAAATCTAAAACTTCACAATTGTCAAATATGTATCCATATTTCAGTTTTTTTCAAATGAAAAAGCCTGTATTTAGTTACTGTATCTTACTCTGTTTTTTGTCCTCCTTCTTCTACTACGTCAATTTAAATTATCAATTTAAATATACAAAATACTGTCGGATGTCGTATTTATTAAATATTCCTATGATTTTTTGTAAATCCTTTCACTACTAAAAAAAATCTAGAAAATTGTACAGCTTGACGAGCAGTCAATCAAAATATATAGGTTGTTTCATAAAAATAATAATAATAATAAAAAAATAACTATAGTCCTCAAGGAACCGTACAACTTTGGTTTTTGACTTTTTCTTCTGTTTCTAATAATTAATGAGATACCGACAAACGCGCACTTGTGACTCATCCCATATATAGGGTGTCTCAGTTGACTTGTTTCTCTTTAATATGTCAAGATATTCAAAAGAAAGAAGTATATAACTTAAAACACTTAATTAAAACAAAGAAATGTATAAAGTGAATATAACATCTTAATCATATCACCTTTGTTACTTTATGGAAAGGACATCAACGTTTTCTTTTTTCTTAAATGGAATATTTTTTATTTTTTCAGTGGCGGTCTGTAAATCCGTAAATTAAAAAACTATAAATGACGGCAGTTCTATAAATAAATTTATAATTTTTTAAGAAATACTCATAAAATCTGTGCTTATTTTTGATGATATCAACTTTTAATTTTAATTCAAATGGAGCAGAGTACATTTTTTAATGCAGATTTTTTTTAACCGATAATTTAACACCTTTGTGTAGTATTATATGTTACGTGATATTATGTTACAGGTGTTAATTAAAAATCAAAAGTATTGTATTTAACCCACCTAAAAACATATTTTATACATTCTAGTCGAAAGGAAAAAGTTGATTATTATTTCCGTAAAAATCAAAAGCGATATAATGCTACTTGAACATTCATTTTGCAGATTTGTCTGTGTTAATTATTATCCGTTCTAAATTTCAAACTTCCACATTTCCAAGTGACTGAGATATTGCAGGTAAACCCAGAGTATTCGAGGGGCGATTTTTTTGTTTTATATGTAGATATAAATAGTTTTTTCCGTTATTATGACTAATTTGGTTTACAAGTGACATTGAAAAACCCAATTTGTGACTAATTAATCTTACTTTTAAATATTTATATTAACTACAAACAAGAAGTAACTTTTTACTTAATTCGGTACATCAAACAGCTTATAAATTTATAGTTCGCACACAAAACGATTTCATGCGGCAGTTTCCTAAATGAGTTTTTTTAGTGCCAATTAACACAATCTATAAAACATGTGATGTAATGTGTTCTCGAAGCAATATATTTCAGCAAACAAGAAATAATTTAACAAATATTAGGCAATTACAAAATTCAAATAACCAAATTATGCATTATATTGTTTCCCAATTCGCAATTCTTATTAATACACTTGAAGTTGCCTTTACTAGTGTTTTCTAACGACAAAATATCACATCCCATTACTAAATTAGCAGTTACTCAACACCACTAGAAATTGCTGTTTTTACAAGTGTTTGACAAGACTCTTGTATTAACATACACAAAGACTAAGTTCCGGCTAAAATATGAAACCGGTTAAATAAATATCTCGAAAAGTGTTTGTCCTAGCTAATTGCGATTGTACATGGGTTTTGGAGAATTATAAAAATTA